ATAATTGAAAATATGTAGCTCTAACAAATGCTAGTTAAATTAAACTGAATTTAGAAGTAAAAGGGCAACTAAACTGTGGGCTTTTGTTATGCAGCAAAGTAAAAGTGCAGTAGCAAGGAACAAGATAGTGTCAGAAAACGCACTATCAAGAGTCAAGAGTCTTGTAATAATGACATTCACTAGTAATCAAATATTTTTGAGTTTGAGTTTTGAGAACCTACAAGATTAGAGCAGGGAATACTAGGTATTGTGGAAGGCAACAGAATATGATGATGACAGTTGTCAACAGGATCAGAGTATATTAAAGTCAAAGTAAGGTGAAACTGGAAAGGGGCTGATGGACTCTCAGGTTCCTAGCGATTTGAGCACCAGTATTATGGGGTGGCAGCAGAGGAAGGAGTTGGAACATTGTAGACTGAGGGGTACATTGGGAACAAAGGAAAAGGGGATAGAAAATGTTGTTTGAGCACAACTAAATAACTCCAAAAATATTATAAAAACATGAGAACATTAGAAGAGGAAATATTGAAAATTTAGAACACATGATATAAAAATATGTAAAGTACACTTTCAATTCAGGATGAGAGACATTAATAAGGAAGATACAAGATACAGTATGGGCCTTAACACAAAGTCTTCTATGTCTTTAAAATGAAAATCTTTGGAATACCTGACCTTCAGGTGTTATACCATCAAAGAACAAAGCAACCATGCCCCTTTAAAAAGGAAAAGATATATTAGAGGATTATATAAATATTTGGTCCCATAGAGTTCTTTCTTGGAAAAATGTAAAGTTATATGTTGCAAATAAGTAATCAGATAATTTTGGTGTCTAAGGGACAGAAAAATACTTTCTAAGAGAGTACAAAACAATACATTCCCTCATGGAACTTTGAATATGTTTCCTTTCTTGAAAAGAAAAAAGGATGAATTCTTTTCTTTCGATGGCTTGAACTCAGGGCTTTACACTTACTAGTCAGGCACTCTACCTCTTTAGCTGCACCTTGAGCCCTTTTTGTTCTGGTTGTTGGAGATAGGATTTCACTTTTTGCCCAGGTTGTCCTGAATCATGCTCCTCCTGTTTTAAGCCATCTCTGGGATGATAGGTGTGTGCGACCATGCCCAGTTTTTTTTCTATTCAGATGGTTGGCCTTGAACTGTAATCTTCTGGATGTCAGCCTCCTGAGTACCTAGGATTATAGGTGTGAGCCACTGGTGCCTGGCTGAAAAGGATGATATTTGATCTTCAGAAGTCCAGGAAAATATGTGGACCTGAGAAGGACTCTGTTGGGGCTGGTGAAGGATGTAGATGCTATGTGAAGACTGATAATTAGGCTTTACAACTGGAGGCCAAACAATGCAAAAGAAGAGGGAAAGAACAGATGAAGGGGAGGAATTAATGCAATTACAGTTGTAAAGATGACTATGCTTAGGTGAATATGAATAGAATACATAATATGCTTATGTATCCTATGTGTTGAATGCATCAAAGCATCAAATGTACTTGAGAATGTGTGTACCTTTGTGGTGGTGTATATTCCAATATTAAAATAGACATATTACAAAAACATTCTTACCAAAAATAATATTTTTCCTTTTGGAACTTGAAGCAACAAATACAAATAAAGCATGCTTTGAAGTGTGCTAAGAGATCAAGATTGTATTTAGCAAACTACCTTTTCTCTGTTTAGGAACAATCTCACCAATTCTAAAACAAAATATGTTAATTAAAGCATCCCAGGTAGTAATCATGGAATATTTCCCATGACAGATGAAGAACACAAACATTCTGAAGACCAAAATTATGTAAACAAAATGAAGAGACATTTTATCCATTTTCTGGCAATGGGAAGTTAGAGTGGATGCAGGTGGATGTGCCGGCAGTAATATTACACTGGTCTCACTACTGAAGAAGGCAAAGCATCAATTTACAGCATTATAACATTCTGTTTTTGCTGCTAGAGATGTGCGTGGATGTTCTTGTGTATTCTCTACTCATATGTGTGCATGGCAAGCACTTCTGCATCAGACTCTTGAAAGAAGCTTAATTTCGTATTGTTTCTATTACATTGTTTTCTCTAATGGGAATGATAGTCTGTCTTAAAAATAAACACTCCACTTATTCTCCAAATAATTCTAGGTTCAGGCTCTTTTGTATATCATTATGAAATTGCATGTGTAGAATTATAGAATTATCTTAAAATTGGGGCACTCTGATTTAAAAAAATTTGAATGACATGAAGAAAATATTCATTCAATTACTCAGTCATTCATTCTTTTAATGCCCTTATTTTGGGCTAAGTGCAAGAGGAAATTCAAGGATGTTGAACTGTCTCTGCTTATAATATAATGCTTATAATATAAAGTGGCAGAATATCATTAGTATCTTCAGATACAAAGGAATGAGAAGTCACTGTATTCCCTCATTCCACAAATATTTCTCGACTAGCAAGTTGGTGCGAGGCACTGTCTAGGTATATAGACGGAAACATGAGAGTCAAGGTACTGGAACTCTTGGGCCTTCCTACCTCTTGGTAAGATGGAAATAATGAAGAAAAAACTAATATAACATCATATAGCATAAGTGCTAGGGAGAAAAATGAAGTAGGGCAATACCAAGAAAAGTGATAGCTGGTGAAGGGTATGATTTTTAAGTTGCAAAGGTCTCTGTGAAGGGGGGACATCTGAGTAGAGTCTTTATGATGTATGAAGAGCTGAAGGACAGGCTTTCCAGGCAGAGGTACCAACATAGAAAGCCCCTGAGGTAAAAATGAACTTGTCATTTTCTGAAATAAAGTCACCGAATAACTGTAGAAGGAAAGAAGGACAGATTCAGTCATGGAGGTGGAAAGGTTGTAGATCCCACTGGCCTCTGTGGAACATGATAAAGACTTTCCTCCAAGTGAGAGGGGACACATTGGTGGTTCTAAGCTGGGTATGAAGTGATCTGATTTACATTTTAGAAAGGTCATTGGAGACACTGGTTGGAAGTCCAGTTGCAGAGATTAAGAAGGTCACCTAGACAGAGAGTAGATATGTGACTAGTCCAGGGAAGGAAGAACCAATGAGAAATCGGTTGGGGTAGTATAACCAGGATGACAGGCCAGAATATTTGTGGCCATCACCTAGGGGTGGTGGTTTGGACTAGGTAGATAATTGTCAAGGTCAGGTGAGAAGTGGTCCATTTTAGGTGAATTTTCACAGAGGAAGTGATATGATACTCTCTGAGTTGAACTTTTAATAATGAGCAGTACTGTGACAAGGGTGGGACAGCCATTCACTGTTTATTGAGTGCCTATCTGTTTTATGGGCCAGGCACTAGCTACATGCTACAGATACAACATTACAGAAGCTGTTGCTGCAAGTGAGGAGGAAACTTGCTAAGGAAGTAATATTTTAAGAAAGATACAAAAGTAGGGAGGTGAATAGTGTATGCATAAGAATTACACTGAGAATTAGCTCTAAGGACATTTTATTCTTTTCTTTTTAGTATAGAAGAATCATGATTAAACTCCTTTGTATGCTTGACTCTCCTTGAATTTGCAAAAGTTAAGTTTCTATCAGTAGAAATTCAGTTCACTGTCAGCACATTTTATCAGATAACTTCCTTAGAAACAGTGCTTCATATTTATTTTTCCCAGTTTGAGGAGAAATTATAGCCTCCCTAGCAAAGAAAAGAGAAATGGAGAGTACAAAATACAAGATAAGCTCATGTGTCTGGGAGCATCCATTAGATTTCAACTGCCACTCTGCTTCCCATGTTCTCCCAACTGGATGACCTCACTTCAACTCTCCCTCCTTTTAATTCATCTTGTAAACTGCCTCTGGAATTAACCAGCATAAAGCAGTCAGTCCAGTCATGTCCATTCCCTAGTGCCTACAGAATACATTCCAAATTCTTGACCCAACCTACTTTTTCTGCTTTACCTCTGCCTATCCAATATATTTTGCAATTGTTCCAGTCACATTGGATTTTCTTCCTTTTCTTTTTGATTATTTAAAAAATTGTGGAGGAATACACCCAACATAAAATTTACCATCTTAAACGTGGTAAGTGTACATTTCTACAGCATTAAGTAGATTCACATTGTTGTGCAAATACTATTAGATTTTATAAACTTTTTTTTTTTTTTTTTGGCAGCACTGGGGTTTGAACTTAGGGCCTCACACTTGCTAGGCAGGTGCTCTTACCGCTTGAGCCCCTCTGCCAGCCCTAGATTTTTAAATTACTTATTATTTCCCTAATGCTTCCAGCAACTCGTTGCCTGGAACATACCTGTAATTATATGGATCCTTTTGGCCTTCTGAAGTGCCTTTCCCTTTCCTTAGCAATTAAAATCTTACCTATAATAAAAAAAGACTAGTTCTTACATCCTTTCTCTTCCTTTAGGCTCCTTTAAAACCTTATCTGGAAACAGAAGGTCAACCCTGTTGCTAGGTAACACACAGCTTACAGTAAAAGTGAGGTCTGGTTGGCCAATTGCATCTGGACTGGGAGGATCTATGTATCGACTATAAGTACATAAATGGGGATGGGTCACATTGGACTTCTCTGAGTGATGACTCTTATAATTAAGCAGACTCCTTGCAGGGACCCTAAGGGCTAAGTCTATGGAGCTACTACAAGAGCTATCACTTCTTATAGGGCTCATATGAAGCTTTTAAGCCAGGGACATTCCTGCACTCACTCAATATGAATCCAATCTTTTTAGACCTGAATTGTCACTGTACCTGTCTTTGGATTCCCACAGAAGAAAAATGCTTCTGCCCTGCTGACCAGCAATGTTTCCTGTAATAAATCCTTCTAGGTCAATCTAAAGCAAACTGAGAAATAGAGAAGTCTTTTGTATCTGACTGCGCAGTGGAATCTAAGAAGACCTGCTCTTATGGGTTTTATAATGTATAGAAATATTGTACTTAAACCCTAACATACCTTGTATGCCTGGGCTTAGAACCACTGAGAACCGTACATAGGACTAGGGCAATAAAGCATTCCTTACCTTTGGAAGGAGCTGGATTGCCTGTAGAATTCTTTGCCTGTGCCCAGAATTAAGGATTCCAATTTCCAACAAATCCTGATCTTCCATAACATTGCTTCCCTGAAACGAAACCAGAAATGTTACAGGATGAACAAGCAGTTATACTGTGGGAAATAAGAAGAATTTATTTAACATAAACTTAAAACAGTTAAAAAACAACAACTGGTCTGATTTTTATAAACAAAGGGTGAGGGCACAGCAGGTCACCTACATTACCAATTGAAGGCTACAGAAACTTGCCTCCCCTCACAAACATCCTCATGGCTAATTATTTATGGTTGGATTATCTGCACTTGAGATTCATTCCTGTGACTTAAGAATTCTGTCCCTGGAAAAATATAAATACTTTTATTAGGAAGAGTTGTGACTTTAGGATTATCAGTGACTTACATAGTTGTGTGAATGAATAAATTAGTTTTTCAGAAACTAACCTGAAAACAGAATTTGTGAGGAGGGCTGATAGAAAATTTGACTAGACAGGTTAAAAGAGAAAAAAATTAATTTTAAAATATTGAATGCCAGATTCTTAATCAAGATATGGGGATGGAACAATGAATAAGATGCAGGACCCTGCCCAGAACTATCTTTATTCCTTCCAAGTCAGTGAGAGAAATGGATCGTTCAAAGGCAATTAGAATGCTTTGAACATCTATGATGGTGACACTTGCTTGGGAATCCCAAGGGGGATCTGAGATGTGTTTTTGGAGCATATGATGTCTAATCAGATATCTGAAATATGATTAGGACTCAAAAGAGAAAGGACAACATGGGAATCATATGAAATAAACTGTAAGGAAAACAATACAGTGTAAAAAGTATTGCATTATGGGATGATCTAGAGAGGAGAGAAAGGTAAGGATGGGAAGTAAGTAGTGGCCAGATGACACAGACAGTACACACCATGCTGAGAGCTTCAACTTCATTCTGACCATCAAGGGAAGGCATGAGCATGATGAGATTCTAAATCTAGAAAAACCATCTTGGCTTGTGTGGCTGGGCCTCAGTTTCCTTCCCTATAAAACTTGGGCCATACAATCTACAAGGACTAGTTTAGTCCTGAAAGTATCAGATTTCAAAGATTATTTTAAATCTCTGATTAATATTCAAATATTAATCAAATCAGAAATTTATAGAATGCGCATTATTTCCCTGAATTTAAGTATTTCAGAATTTGTTAGTTTCTCTTTAAATTGAGGAGTCTAATAATGTGAAGTGAAATAAGCCAGCCACAGAAAGATGTAAACCACATGTTCTCACTCATTGATGGAAGCTAAAAAAGTTGATCTTACAGAAGCAAAAGGTAGAATATTGGTCACAAGGCTAGGAAGGGGAATAGAAAGAGATTGGGTATCAGGTACCAAAATACAGTTAGATGGGAGACGCTTATTCTAATGTGCTATAGCATGGTAGAATAATTATAGTACACAATAATTTATTTTATATTCCAAAATATATGGAGTTTGAAGTTTTGCAATGTACAGAAGTGATAAATGTTTAAGGACATGGAATTACCCTGATTTGATCATTATTCATTGTACACATATATTATCTACTGTGCCTCATAAAGAGGTACAAATAGTATATTATTTAAAAAACAAAAAATGAGGAATATATAGGAGTTCAAGAATTCGTATTGTTATTTTTTTTGGAAAAATCAAACTCTACCCTATTAATGTATGCAAACATTTAAGAACAGAAGTGACAGAATACTTGCTTATGGAGAACAATGGGTACTAATAGAGGTTCAAAGCAAAAGAAAATGGACTGGAAAGCGCAATCCTGGGCCCTGGCAACCATAGGAGGTTGTTGCAGCTGTTCTAGAGATCACTGATGTGGGCTTAGAGTAAAGTAGTAATCACAGGAGGCAGAAAGAAGCAGGTGTGCTTGAAAACTTGGAGACTGAACACATGGAAGAATGGAGAAATGCAGAATACACTTGGTTCCAGTCTGGGCAGGGAATGAATCTGGATGCCTTTTCCTGAGATAAGAAAGGAGGAGGGGCAGTTCTAGTGTAGTACAAAGTGAGATTAATACTTTCCCTGAACAGGGACAGGAATAGATGGATGTAAACAGTTTAATATCAGACTACACTATAAATGGATAATTGACTGTTCTTAGAAGGATTAAAGCCATTAGAATGGTTCCACAGCTAGGGGTTTAAAATGGGCATTCACTGGACAAAATTATTCTACCTGCTCGTAGCATCATTCCTGTGCTTAAGCTATACCAGCCATCTCAGAGGAAGCAGAACGATGCAGGTATATAGCAGCATGATAATGAAAAGCCTAATGAAAAACAAATAAAGGCAGGGTTGGCAATACGCCACAGGAAACATTGCTCTCAAGAAATTACTCAGTGCACACAATAGAGCATGGCTAAGAATACAAATGACTTCATTTCCAGATAGCAGTATTACTTCCAGAAATGGATGATGGTGGCATGAGCGGCTATATGTGGCACCTATTCTGACTTTTACACTTTCAGGAATCTTCCACAGGAATTACTGGCCCTCAAAATGAAAACAAAAACAAAAAAAATTAAAAAAAATCCAACAACAACCAAAACTGTTGGCCATCTATGAACTAGAGCATTATAGGTTTTCCACATTCAGAATTACCAGCCCACACCTTCAACCCATGCAGAATGCAGGCCTGGTTTCTCTGTAGAATACAAAGCATCACCACCAGGATCCTGAAAACTTGACATCAGTGTTTGAATGCTGAGACGATTTCAACAATTAAATCCTTAATGACTGCTGCTCTTTCTCTAAACTACCCATGCCCTATCTTTACTATTTTCAATAAAAGAGAGGACTTTTAGAAGAATTGTAGAGAAGTTAGACATTTTTTTTTAAAAAGGCATACATAACAGCACTTTCTGTTTGGGTCAAATTTCCTAGCATGCAGGATAATTATCAAACACTTTTGAAAAGCAAGTGAAAAGTATGGGAAGCATAAAGCAAGTTGTGAGAATGTGCCCACAGGCAAATGGTACTAATTGGGAAATGTAAAGAAAAGGATTTACTGTTCTTAATGAGGCATACTGTTAGAGATTCTTCATTTTGTTAATTACTCTGGTTCCTTCATTACACAGTTTATGCATATATGCAATCAACATGCTGTATGCCATAGATATGTATAATATGTGTTAATAAGTAATTAATAAAAATAAATGTTCTATTTTCTTTCTTTCTATAATATATAGGGCTACCCAAAATAATCTGATATGTCATTCAGCTGGGGCTCTGTCCAAACAGCAGGAGTCTGAAGACCTGGGTTCAGATCACTTCGGGGTAAGCTTTGCTGAGTCCTGCATTCTTTCTAGGCTTGTTGGTTCTCGCCCACAAAATGAAGCAGTTTAACCAATATGCATTCAGTTAAAAAAAGCTGTGATTTCAGTAATGTTTGACGTTTGATTTCATAGTATAATTATATTGAAATATAGATTGTGTACTTTGAAATTACATTTTACTGTTTCAGAATTTGCAACTTAAAAGTTAACTTTCAGAAATGATTATAGAGATGTTAAAAAATTCACCTTATTTTTCTGAGAAATCAATCTTTGTACTATATATTTATAAAACTCTTATTAAAAGAAATGATACAATAACTTATTTTTGTAGTGTTAGGGATTCATAAAACTTTTCAGAGAAAAGTCAAATATTTCAAGCCTCACAACCATTTCTTTTTGAACTTGGGTAATGGTTATAGCATCAGGGACCACAAACATTCCCATTCTTCCCAGGGAGCTGGAATTCATTCTCACTTTACCACTTGCCTTTAGTAAATGTTACCTCAGCTTAATGCATTTCCTAATCAAAGCTGAATATAAAATCTAGCTCTCTCCGTATTCCACCTGTGTTTCACATAACTTTCAGGAGCAGAGCTTGTCTTCTGCTTTTCCACATACTCAGTGCACTCCACCCCACCCCCTGTACACTCACTGTCTACTTCCTCCTCCTGCTTACTTGTCACCTCCATAACAAGGTTTCATCCTCCATGAACTCAGTAGAATTTTCTGCCAAACAAGGAATGTTTGTCAAATCTAGTTGATTCTTTTCAATCCTGCTTTGTGGTATTCATTGGCCATATGTGGCTACCATTCCGGACCACACAGATTTAGAACACTCCCATCACTGTAGAAAGTTATAGAAGACAATGCTGCTCTACAGTTATGGACATCAAAACTGTAGTCAAATCACACAAATGGGGCAATAATGGGACAAGGGATCAAAATATTCATGAGCCATTCTCAGGATATAATTATTTATGGATCTCAGTTGAAATTCGTGAACGTTAAATTTGGGATCTTTAGCAAATTCTCCTCTAAGTCTTCAGTCATCAAAACAAATTAAAGATTGCTCTACTTGCACTAGTATTTCTTTATTATGGGGCTAGAAAGCTCTGCTATAAAAATGCTAAGTCCAATTGATAAATTATTATTTAGTTAGCATTCTACCAGGCACTCTGCACAAGGTGTTTAGGCACTAATAACCATAGATAAAGTTGCTTATTTAGTGAATTACTAGAGTAAACATAGGCCTAAGGCAGTGTTTTTTATAACAGCTGTTCTTTTACTGATGAGAAATGTATCCATGGAATCTTTATTGCTTTCTTAAATCATGGAATGAAGCAAAACCACCCACTACTTTATGTACCGATAGCTGAAAACTCAAGTTTCTTTGACCATGGGGAAAATATCTGATGCTTGTGATGTTTTCACTTGTGATAAATTACTAAGATGACCAAACAAAACAAAAAGCAGTCTTTTATAATGCTCCATTAGGAATAGAACAGGTATTTATTGAAATTCTATCTCAAGAATTCTATACCGATGGCCCTGGCTCTCAGAACTATATCTTGAATGTTCTCTTAGTTTCATAACATCAATACTATATCACATTCATTAAGAAAGTTTTTCTTCAGATAACATATTACATAAAATTCTAGGGAAACCTATTTAAGGACCATAGGGAACTGATTTCCTCTTAATATAAGCTTGAATTGGATAATGTTATTTATTCACTCCATTCAGTCCAAATCTGAAAACATCAAGAGGAT